GACTTTATTTAATCATACTGTATTAATCATAAATTTTAACAAATGTAACACGACCATGCAGGATGTTAATAATAGGGAAAAGTAAAGGGGGGTAGGATGTGGGACCCCTATGTACTTTAAGCTAATTTTTTCCTTAAGCCTAAAATTCCTCTGCAATTAAAACTTCTTAAAAAAAAAAAAAGGACTGCCTTCTCTGTATTTCCACTCACCTACTACTCTATTTTGTTTCTCTGGGTCAGGAATAGAAGCTATGAAGCACTCATCTGCAAATTGGTAACTGAAGAAGAATATTCAGGAACTGTAACTCTCCTAAAACAGGAAATGTCCTATTTTTTTGTGATTTTGGCCACCAGGACACCCTCCTGCATTCACTACACTTTACCAGGAAAATGGTATCACCAAGGGACAATAAAACATGTGAGTATTTATGTATCTATTAACTGAAGTACTCTTCTTACCTGGAATTGGTTGAAATAATTGATCTCTATCATCCATGACCTCTGTTGTTCCATTTATAGCTGTTAAAACAATACATTGGTGGTTATGGAAAATAACAGTCTCTAGGTAAAATTAATATATATGTATGATCATGTATTTACATGGGATGTAGGGCCTGTTCTCAGTATTCATGGTAGTTATATTCTGCACAGTAAACAAACAGATATTTGAAGAAAGCTTACCTAACACATATAGTTTCTCCATGAGGCACATCACCACCTTCTTGCATTTGGGAAAATTAACCAGCTAGTTTAACACTACATGTGGGGGCCAGCTGAAGGGATGATTGAGTGTACTTGTCAGAACATTAAAAATATTTGAAGTTCTGCTGTTGTCCAAATGGCCTCTAAGATGCTGAAAGCATTGATTTTGAGTGACAAAGGTATCATGGTGAGTAGATGATACAGAGTATAAATACAGAATGTGCAAACAGTAAGGATTGACTGCATATGGTATATATTTTACATTTAGCATGCATCTATCTATGCAGTACATCACGCTCATTCACTCATTCATACGTAAGTACATCTAAATGCATATACATTTACTTATATATGCATGCATAGGCTGATTTGTACAGTGTGCCTATATATTTATGATACATATTACTTTTGTGCATGCATATATCTTGATAGATACTTTGTATGTACATATGTATCTCTGTTTAAGGGCACCCTGTTGCAAACACAGAAGGACTATATTGTGCAAGAACCTTATTTAATAACTTTAATCATGAATTAAATTGAATTATTCAATTTTAACCTCTTCAGGAGAATAAAACATTTTGCATAGTAGAATAAGAAACTGTGTGACTTTATCACCTCTCTGGGTTTGTATGGCATTTGCTATTACATATGGCAACAAAACATTGACTTATTAGTTCTTAGCACTGTAAGTATTTAGATTGATCTTGGCTTTTGAATACAAAATTTTAGAAACCCAAAACATCTCCCCAGCTACTTTACTATATGAATTTACCTTTAGCTAACATTGTCCAAAACGCAGGCACATTTGGGGTCGTTTCTGTTTTTTTTTTTAAAAAAGAATAACATAATAAGGTAATTTGGATTTAATAACATTTATTTGTTTAGTAATTTAGCATTCATATCTAATACTTCTACCATATATCACACCCTGTGGTTTCAACTAAAGGTACAGGAGTGAACATGGCCTGGGTTTTATGCTCAAGGTACCCATACCTAACTTGGAGGCAGAGAAGAATAATTTTTGGTTTGTTGCAGGATAATTATACAAATGGACATGTACTATACACAGGGCCTAATTCATCATCACCTGTGAGGTCTAGAAACACCCCAAAAGGCATGTGATGCCCCAGTTTTGATGTAAAGTTCTAGTAATCACTCCTTGAGCAAAGGAGGTGAGAGAAAGATCATTCTTGCTGTGAGCATGAGTTATGGCAGAGTGATGGGCAGGTTCAAATAAGCTCTTGGAGCTTCAGATACTCTGGAGCAAAGAATATGGTTGGGGGAATATGACCAGAGAGGAGACTAGGAAGTTTTCATAGTTGCCAGATCATTTCAGACTTGAATGCTTGATTAAGAACTTAGAAATGTCCCCTCCCCATTAGCAGAAATTATTAAGGATACTTAAGAATGGGGATACCAGGACAATCTACTTTTCATCTTTAAACACAACAAAAAAAGTAGATCAGGGTTTTTATTTTCTTTCTTTCTTTTTTTTAGCATCATTAAAATCCAAACTATTTGAGAGTGATTATATTAGAATCATACTTGAATTTCCTGATCTGGAGAATTAGGGTTTCATGTAATGACAGGTAAGAATTCATTATCTTCAACAAGACCATTCATTCAAGTCCTTAGAGAAGAGCCATGGGTTCCTATGTCTTCACAAATATTTTATGAGGAACAATATTATTGGCAGAAAATTAAAAAGTGATTTTAATTTTATAGCTTCCCACTCCCCTGAAAAACCTTAGGAAACACTCATCAGTGACTAACCAGAGATACATTCATTCCCCAAGAGGGTAGAAATTTTCATATTCCTCAAAATTTAAATTACATTTAAAATATATTAAATATTTTAAAATCTATATAAATATATTGATCCACATAAATATTATGTACTTTATATATTTATAAATATATGTTCATGTATCTATATTTTATATGTTCATTCATACATATATATTTATACATATAAAATATTGTATTAAAAATTCATAAAAATCCTCAGTTTCTATCCATTGTCAGGTAGATCTAAATTTTGACTCAAGACATTTACCACTTAAAAGATTTTATAGTGACTTTAAAATGTAGTAGTATGAATTCTTTAAGCATGCTATTCCTTTACATAATGCTCAGAGTAGTGAAACTTAATAATTTTAAATTATATGACATGATCCAGGTATGAAGACAATATAGTAGTTTTAATACTTTTCACATATTTATGAAAGGGTGTTTCTTCAGTTTGTGGTCTAGTCGTGTTGACCGTTGTATCTAGGAAAAGGGATACAAAATTATCAGTATATGAAAATATTGGATAAACATCTACGATTAAGCATATTTTGAAGCAAAAATGCAATACAGACAAGGAGAGAGAAGAGATAGAAGAGAAAAAGTTTTCTTGAAAATAACTTACAGAGGGGAAAGGACCAGGCAATAAGATTTGGGGATGATGGGCTGCCTGAGGTGAGGTTAACATGCCTATAACTTGAGAGAGAGGAAAAGCAAGGCCCAGGGGGCCAGGCTCCTCTGGAGGTCTGGGAAATCACTGGCTAAGACACTTGGTTTCAAAGGTCAAGGCACAACCTTAAAATGACAGCTGTAGTCCAGAGCAGCCTGGTTGTTGTTCAATGTGATGACATGAAGAGGAGGCACGGAGAGTGTCCTTGTCAATTGGAAACAGTTTGGAATGAAAGGATCTGGGACTGCTCATTGGATGGGCAGGCCTCATTCAGCACCCATCTCAGTCTATAATGTGTCTGTCTGGAGGTACATCACTGAGACAGGTGTGGGAACAATTGAGACTGGAGGCCCATTTCCCCCATGTAGTTGGCAATCTTTTTTTTTAGTTAACTGCTGAATGCAGGAGCCAGTGCAAGTTCCATATGGAGTTCAGACCCTCCCAGGAGTGGGGAGTTGAACAGAGAGGTAGAATGAATCCAGCCTGAGCCCACAAACCCCTTTCAGGTATCCTGCTGACAAGGAAGGATGGAAAGGGAAACCCATTACTAGAGTTGATGCTGACTCAGGGGAGACTCAAATGAATGGTAAGGAATCTTTAAACTCTGCTAGACAATCATTTTCTTCTTCTTGGGAGAGGAGCATTCCCTTTCCCTGCCAGCTTTAGGATCTCTACTTCATTCAGTGATCTTCAAAGTTATCAGGGAGATCTCCATTGCCTCCAGGGACTCTCCTCTAGGGCATCCCTCCCATGACAGAGTGTCTCCTCTATCACAATCCCCTTGAACACTGCAGGAATTCCTTATCCCTATCCAACTTTTGTGACAGTCCCTTGGGGGCCTGGATTGTGGGGATACAATTTAGTTTTGGATAGCTTTTTCTTGTGTCCTATGGCTCTCAGTAGCACACATCCTGAGGGGTTGTGAGGTACCTGCACTGCTTGAGAGATGGGTATCTGGTTCTTATCCCACATACTTCAAGATGTTTGCTATGCACAAGTCAGATTCCTATGAGGGAGTATCTAATTAATGTTTGCCTCAGAAATGTCACTGTCTCACAAAGTTTGGAATTGCTCAGAAATATTCCATGATTGCTAATGTCTAATTATAATCGGGCATTTTTCAGTCTGGGTTTTCCCAGTGTTGAAACTGCCACAGCCATAATCCTTCTTTCCTCTCTGTTGAAGGCTTTTGAAGGCCTACAAAGCAGAAAGGAGCAAAAATATGGGTTGAAGAAAGATGCATCATTTCCCAGAATCCTCAATTCAGTTGTTTGATTTTTCTTTCCATGAAGACCCAAAATTTGAGGTTTAGAATTGTAAGAGCATCTCTGCCTTTTGAAATTTTCAGGGCAATGGACCTGAGCCTCAAGGGTATAGAGTGAGAGGAAGAATGAGAAAAACCTAAAGGATAACCCAGAAGTAGCTGGATCCCTGCATCATAGCATCTACTTTAGAGGGAGAATTTTAGTCTGCTTAGGAACAAAGACTTCTTTCCTACACACCAGTGTTTTGTGGTGCTTTAAGGACTTTCACATGTTCAACAGTGCCTTTCAGGACTTACAGTGCTTTACAGCAAATCTCAGATCGGTTGTTGCTATGACAGTTATTTCAGATTCTGTATCATGTGGAACTCTTGTGGTGTACACATCTGAAAACAAAAAAAATCAAGTCTTCAGCAACCAGCTAAGTCACTTCATGTTCATTTTTCTTCATAGAATTTTTTCCTTAAAACATATGCACTAATTCTAAACAACTAAAGAGGTTATAAGAAATATGAGTATTTTTTTATTTTCAAAATAAGAAAGTGGGGCAAGAGTCAAACTGAAAATTCATGAGGATTGCTCAGTCCCGTAATATGTATATTAAAACTGGAATTTTATAGGAAAATAAACATGGCCTCTGCACAAGAATGTCAGGCAAATTGATGAAGTGGCCCTTGTTTTTCTCTTTTTTCTGAATATAAATGGTTTTTATTCTTCTATAAAAGATATAGTATGGCACATTGGTTTAAAAAACAACACCCATTGAATGCTGTCTCAAAGAAACACATCTCATATGCAAAGGCACTCAAATACTTAAAGTGAATGGGGTAATGATATTGCATGCAAATGGAATCAGAGCAAGCAGAAGTAATCACTTTAATATCAGACAAAGCAGACTTCAAGCTAAAACTAGAAGTGACAAAGGAAATCATTGTATATCAGTAAACAGAATAGTCCACCAAGAAGATATAATATTGGTACACCCAATTTTATAAAACAAACATTTGATATAATGGTATTGGCAGACTTCAACATAATAGTGGGGGTTTTTCAATCTACCACTCTGAGACAGATCATTCCAGATAGAAAATCATAGACTTACCAAATTTAAAGTTTTTTTTTTTTTTAATCTTTTTTAAAATTGATTTTATTCTTTTTAAATACATGACAGCAGAATGCATTACAATTCTTATTATACTATAAAGCACAATTTTTCATATCTCTGTATATAAAGTATGTTCACACCAATTCATGTCTTCATACATGTACTTTTTCTTATTTTATCTTTTTACTATTAGTTTATGTTTATTTTTCTTTTTTTTTTTTTTATTGTTGGTTGTTCAAAACATTACATAGTTCTTGATATATCATCTTTCACACTTTGCTTCAAGTGAGTTATGAACTCCCATTTTTAGCCCATATACAGATTGCAGAATCACATCAATTACACATCCATTGATTTACATATTGCCATACTAGTGTCTGTTGTGTTCTGCTGCCTTTCCTATCCTCTACTATCCCCCCTCCTCCCTCCCCTCCCCTCCCCACCCTTCTTCTCTCTCTACCCCCCCTATTGACCTTCATTTCTCCCCCTTGTATTATTTTTCCCTTTCCCCTCATTCCCTCTTGTATGTTCTTTTGTATAACCCTGAGGGTCTCCTTCCATTTCCATGCAATTTCCCTTTTCTCTCCCTTTCCCTCCCACCTCTCATCTCTGTTTAATGTTAATCTTCTTCTCATGCTCTTCGTCCCTACTCTGTTCTTAGTTACTCTCCTTATATCAAAGGAGACATTTGGCATTTGCTTTTTAGGGATTGGCTAGCTTCACTTAGCATAATCTGCTCTAGTGCCATCCATTTCCCTGCAAATTCTATGATTTTGTCATTTTTTAATGCAGAGTAATACTCCATTGTGTATAAATGCCACATTTTTTTAATCCATTCGTCTATTGAAGGGCATCTGGGTTGGTTCCAAAGTCTTGCTATTGTGAATTGAGCTGCTATGAACATCGATGTAGCAGTGTCCCTGTAGCATGCTCTTTTTAGGTCTTTAGGGAATAGACCAAGAAGGGGAATAGCTGGGTCAAATGGTGGCTCCATTCCCAGCTTTCCAAGAAATCTCCATACTGCTTTCCAAATTGGCTGCACCAATTTGCAGTCCCACCAGCAATGTACAAGTGTACCCTTTTCCCCACATCCTCGCCAGCACTTGTTGTTGTTTGACTTCATGATGGCTGCGGGTGGACCAATGGTACAGAATAGAGGACACAGAAACCAATCCACAAAACTACAACTATCTTATATTTGATAAAGGGGCTAAAAGCATGCAATGGAGGAAGGATAGCATCTTCAACAAATGGTGCTGGGAAAACTGGAAATCCATATGCAACAAAATGAAACTGAATCCCTTTCTCTCGCCATGCACAAAAGTGAATTCAAAATGGATCAAGGAGCTTGATATCAAATCAGAGACACGCCGTCTGATAGAAGAAAAAGTTGGCTACGATCTACATACTGTGGGGTCTGGCTCCAAATTCCTCAATAGGACACCCATAGCACAAAAGTTAATAACTAGAATCAACAAATGGGACTTACTCAAACTAAAAAGTTTTTTCTCAGCTAAAGAAACAATAAGAGAGGTAAATAGAGAGCCTACATCCTGGGAACAAATCTTTACTCCTCACACTTCAGACAGAGCCCTAATATCCAGAGTATACAAAGAACTCCAAAAATTAGACAATAAGAGAACAAACAACCCAATCAACAAATGGGCCAAGGACCTGAACAGACACTTCTCAGAGGAGGACATACAATCAATCAACAAGTACATGAAAAAATGCTCACCATCTCTAGCAGTCAGAGAAATGCAAATCAAAACCACCCTAAGATACCATCTCACTCCAAATTTAAAGTTTATGATAGATCTGTTGGACTTAACAGAAATACACAGAATCCTTTACCCAACTACTTTATACAATAGCAGCTGCATATATTTTCATTTCAGCCAGTCATGGTACATTCTCCAAAATTGACAACACACTATTATATAAAGCAAGTCTTATCAAATACAAACTTTGAAATAATCTCTTGACTCTTCTCGGAATACAATGGAATAAGAAATCAATAGGAAAAAACTAGAAGCTATACAAATACATGGATATTCAACAATACACTTTTGATTGATAAGTAGCTCACTATATAAATTAAGGGGGAAATTTCAAAATTCTTAGAATCATACAAAAATGGAGACACAACATACCAGTGTCTCTGGGATGCAGTGAAGGCAGTTCTAAGAGGAAAGCTTACATCTTTGAGTGCTTCTATTTCAAAAAGAGAGATTTCAAATAAATAACCTAGTGGCACATCTTAAAGTCTTAGAAAAACAAGAGGAAATCAATCTTAAAATCAATAGGAGAGGCACTCAGGGCTGAATTCTGGGTTCGAGACGGGGAAGGAAGCGGTCCATCTCGGTTCTCCACACCGGTCAGACCACAGAGGAGGCCAGCAGCCACCATGTTGGTAAACTGACGTCACCACACCTGTTTTTGACTGACCGCAGCTCATTCAGCCATAGAACAGGTAATTTCAGGCTGCAATTCGCCTGCGGCTTGCAGACAGATTGCTAGGGTTCAGCGCCTGGGGGCTTCTTAAAATCTGATCTTATCGGAGTGAACACGGAGCGCGGGGCGGCCGAGTTCCGGCTCCCGGAACCGCCCCGGAACCGTCCCGGAACCGCCCTGGCTCCGGGCTGCGGAGCCTGCGGAGGCTGCTTCTTGGACCCTGCTAATATCAGAGCAAACACGAAGCACCAAGAGGCCGAATTCCAGCTCCCGGAACTGAGCCCGCGGGGACTGCTTCTTGGAGCTTACACTTATAGGAGCTTACACCGAGCACAGAGCGGCCGAGTTCCGGCTCCCGGAACCGTCCCGGAACCGCCCTGGCTCAGGGCTGCGGAGCCCGCGGAGGCTGCTTCTTGGACCCTGCTACTATCAGAGCATACACCAAGCACTAAGCGGCCGAATTCCGGCTCCCGGAACTGAGCCCGCGGGGGCTGCTTCTTGGAGCTTACACTTATAGGAGCTTACACCGAGCACGGAGCGGCCGAGTTCCGGCTCCCGGAACTTCCCTGGACCGGGGCTAGGAGCCCGCGGAAACTGTGTCTCGGTCCGGGTCCTGCTGAGGGCAGGTCAGGACTCACCCATTGCTTGGGTTGCCTGGCAAGGGGAACGAAATGCTGCCATTCGCATAGGATACCAACATGGCAGAGATCTGATGTCAGCAGAAAGCGGTGGAGGAGAGATCTTCATCAATACCAGCGGTGACATAAGCAGTTGGTCTCCTGGTAAGGGGGGTGAGGCTCAGTCACCCGAGTCTCCTCAATTTGTCCTCGAGCCAGAGGGAAGGAGCCGGGCCGCCGCCAGCCCCCGGAGCAGGCCCAGCGGCTCGCCAGCGTGGTGACCGCGTGACCCCAATTGGAGAGGGGGCGGAGCGGAGCCGCCACCCACACCCGCCAGGTGGGCAGACCCACGACCCAGTAGTACATGGGCGTGGTAGGAGGGGCAGGGCAGAGCCTCCCTTCGCGCTTGCAAGGTAAACAGACCTGTGACAGCCTGGCGGGTCAGGCCCAGTGGCCTGCCAGTGTGGTACACACGTCACCCCAACTCGAGTAGGGGCAGAGCAGATCCTTATCCCACGCCCGGATCAGGCCCTGCCGGTGTGGTGGTCACGTGACCCCAATTGGAGTGGGGGTGGAGCGGAACCGCCACCCGTGCCCGCAGGGTGAGCAGACCAGTGATCAACCTGCAGATCAGGCCCAGGGGTCCGCAGGCGTGGTAGGAGGGGCAGGGCAGATCCGCCGCCCGCGCCTTCAAGGTAGGCAGACCTACAATAGACCGGCGGATCAGGCCCAGGAGCCTGCCGGCGGGGTACAAACACCACCCTAATTGGAGTAGTGACAGAGCAGAGTCGCCTCCCTTGCCAGGAACAGACCCAGCATCCTGCAGGCGGGGTAGTCACGACACCCCAATTGGAGTAGGGGCAAAGCAGAGCCTCCACCCGTGCCCGAAAGGTGGGCAGATCTGCGACCGACCAGCGGGACAGGCCCAGTGGCCTGCTGGTACGACAGACACGTCACCCCAATTGGAGTAGGGGCAGAACAGAGCCACCACCAGCTCCCAGAACAGGCCCAGTGACCTGCCGGCGTGGTAGCCACGACACCCCAATTGGAATAAGGAGAGAGCAGAGCCGCCGCCCGCACCTGCAGGAAAGATACGCAAGCAGTATGAAAAGACAAGGAAAGAAAGGACCACAAGCAATGCAGGTCAACGCAACTTTAGAAGAGGTAACAGCTGCAGCAGATGGAATGTCAGATAAAGAATTCAGGATATACATGCTTCAGATGATCTGGAGTATCAAGGAAGACATTAAACAGCAAAATCAGACAATGAAAGATCACTTCGACAAGGAATTACACAAACAAATCCAGGAAGCAAAGGATCAACTATACAGGGAGATAGAGGTTATAAAAAACAAGCAATCAGAAATCCTAGAAATGCAGGAAGCAATAAACCAACTTAAAAACTCAATGGAGAATACTACCAACAGAGTAGAACACTTAGAAGATAGAACATCAGACAATGAAGACAAAGTATTTCAACTGGAAAAGAACATAGACAGCTCAGCA